TTTTAGACGCTGTAACTATCAAACAAATTCAATGAAGACCCACTATTCCATAGTACTTAGCGTTAAATTATTGTCTGTTTGTTATTTTTATCTTAATATTTGTAATTTTTGTATTTTTCTCTTAATTATTATGTATTCAATACAATGTAATTGGGCATCCCAGTATTTAATAATAAATAAATAAATAAATAAATGAATACGTAAAAATAATGAAAATGTGCAAATTGTTATAAGTTAGAAATTCATAAAAATGTTTATTTTTAAATCTAAGATTTTATATTTTAATTATTTCTCATAAGTTTGTCTAACTTAGAAAAAAAAGTTTTAAATTCAAAAAGAAATAACTGTGGGTACTTATAATTTACACCAAATGTTTATTTTATCATTTTCTAAACTAGATAAAATTTTAAAAATATTTGGACTTGTTTTGAGCTGTTTACTGGCATTTTCAATCTTCAATCTTACCTTTTAGTTTTTTCTGTAAATGTCAATACAATTTTATTCATTGGGTCGAAAAGCTTGAAATTTAAATTTAATACAGGTCCTTGATATGTTGTTACAACAGCCGTTGTAAAATATTAAAAATATAACGGCATTATGGATTTTTTTACCAATCATGTTGTAATTAAATATGTATAAAATGTTCACATTTCATAGCTAAGAATTGAAGATTTTAAAAAAGGTTCCTTTTGGGTAATTCCTATAGGTATGTTGTTTTGTAACCAAAAAATCTAAAAAATGAAGGAACACAATTTTTGTATAGTTATTTTAAGTTTAAAACTTAGTATAAAAGTTAATTTAACTTTTGACAAAATTACATATTTAAACCAAGAATAACGATTTTAGTTATTTTTTGTAATTTAAAAATATTATGCATAGGTTCTGGGAACTTTTAGAGTACCTAGTTATGCAATGATGTTTAATACACACAATAAAATTTTCAAATGTAATTTCTTTGACAAAAATGAATTTTACCTTCTATAGTAATATAATGCCTACCTATTATATGTATACTAAAATAAAAAAATCATAAAAATATGTAATTTAATTATGATTATTAAATTATTTATAATAAAAAAATTGAAAAAAATAACAAGTCAGAACACAATGTCACAATACTCAACTGATTAATAAATTAAAAGTAATTTTTACGTTTATAATTGACAATTATACAATTTAAAGTTAATAGTTTTGTACCATACCGTTCTTATCAGTGTTATTGCAACCAAAACTTTCTTTGGTTTCTGTTGTACCTAACGTAGATCAGCAGCAGTTAATAACCTATATACACTTTGGTATTAAGTAGATCAAGGTGAGCAACTATCATAAAATAATGAAAAAGTAAAATGCTTATATATTTTTTTAAAAGACACTGCAATTACATTTTCGGAAATTTGGAAAACATTACAGAGCTTGGGTAGATTTGTTTTCTAACAGATTTCGAAAACTTATTAGGAGAGTTGAGAAACAAGCAAACAAAGAAAAGGCAAGATAGAAATATGAAAGAAGAAGATATATGCACTTATTTCTTTTAAAGAACCAGTTTTAAATGCTATTTCTCTTCGCAATAATCGTAACTTAATCAAAGTAAAAGAAAATTTGAAAAAATATGAGCTTATGGCAATTCAGAATAAATTCTAGAGACACTCCAACTTTATGAATACACAGACAGCCCAACTAAACTAATAATGCAAGTAGATGAAATTAGTAGTAAAATTCGAGGGATCGAATCGAAGAATTAAATACTTACGAAAGTCGATCAATTGAGCAACTATATGAAAAAAGTGAATTTAAAAGATAATTTAAATAATAGTGAAAATAGCTAAGACAGAATAACTGATAGACATTTTAGGGATAACTGGGAAAATAAAAATGAGAGAAGTCAAAATAACTAGAGAAATTCAAACGTTATAAATATAGAAACGTTAGTCTGTATCCGAATAAATTAAAAAAATTCAATGATATCAAATCATTGTAAACAAAAAACGATTCTGAGCGGAGACGGTATGTCAGTCTAGGATAATTTACAGGTATTCGAAAAAAAAAAGCCTCAATATCAAAATACGGTAAAAAAAAGCCCGGTACCAACTAAATACACAACACTTTTTTTTATTAAGGTATACATTTCATCATTTTTAATTTTTAAACAATATACTATTATTTATTAATAGCCATATATCTTTAACCATATATATATAATATATATTTTTTATATACTTTTATATCATAATAATATTAAATCAAATGATAAACCCAATAGTTTAAACTATTTAGGTATAAACATACATTTGAAATAGAAGAGATTAAAGTACCTTTATAATAATAAAAGTTATTGACATTTGACATCATCTTAAAAATAATGAAGGTATAATATTTTATATTTTTATTGTAGACTATATCATAGTATCTACAATATTTTATTATAAAAAATGTGGTTTTTTCGTTCATGTAGATTTCATCATTTTTTAATTTTTTAAACTTAAAACCTTTATTTAATTAGGTTCTGCAACACGCCTACCTTGTTTATTTAAACTTAAGTGGCTGTCGATATTTATACCTAATTCTATCTAGTTAAGGAGTAGTTGGTTAGCTATTCCCACTACACGAACCAATCTTGTGAACCGGGTTGTTGAATTGGTACAAATAAAGTTTTCTAAGCTATATTTTACAGGTCCTAGAAACTTATGACCTGCGTTCATAAACTAACGCAATTATTACACGTTATTATACCTATAATAAAACAATTTAATTATGTTACTTAAAAATGTAGATGTAACTGTTGTCTCTATTTCACGATTCAAACTTGACTGGTTGGATATGCCAATGATTTATATTATCGTACTCTACGTTCCTGTGTTCTGTCTACCTAAGCAAATTTATCAAGCGTGACATAAATGACGAGTCAGTAATCTGTAAATCATTACAGTACAAATGACAAAAAACAACTATTGCAAATTGCAACTATACTTGTATATTTTATAAGAGTAATGTATGTTAAGGAATATTATTTATGGAATGATTTTTAACTGTGATATAATTAGCTATTGTTAATGTCATATACTAAATATAATTTTTTTTAAGTAACTACCTCCATGAAACTCTCTTTTAATCAAATAAATGTACCAACTAGTACCTATAATAAATTAGATGCATAAGAATATAATAACATAGTATAATTATTAATAAAATAAATGTAATGATTATTATGATTATATGTAATCATAAAAAAAACAAAAAAAAAAAGAATCATCTATTTAGTATGGGGATTTTTTTCCCTATTGACGTGGCTTTTTTTACCGTACTTTGATATCGGCGCTCTTTTTTCCGGTGCTTTTTTTTTCTAGATTCATTTTATATTGTTATTTCTTATTATTGAAATAATTATATTAATATGGTAGCCGGTAAGTCTAATTAATATTATACTCAAATTATCAGTGATGCTGGAAAAATATTAAATATACCCTAAGTAAAATTGGGCTGTTATGGAACCGAATTACAACAAAATGATAACCATTATTCTTTGTGTTAATATGAAATTTTGTCCAAATTTGAACTTAAAAGGTCTGTAAAAAATAACTAAATTCATATATTTTTTAAATTTTTTAGTCATAGTGGAACCTTGTTTTAAATTTTCAAACCTTGGATATAAGAATTAAACATTTTATACATATTTAACTACAAAATTATTTTCATTTTTCAACTTCATAAATATTGTCAAAATTTGAACTTTAATTGCTGGTTAAAAAAATTGTGGCTATGTATTTTTACTATTTTTCAACTGCTATTGTAACAAGTTATCAAGAGTCTTGTAATGAATTGTCATGTTTTTTTACCCAACCAATACAGTTTTGTTGAAATTTATAAAAAAAAAATTTAAAAATCTGAAAATTAAAAATGTCCGTAAACAGCTCAAAATGAGTCAAAATATTTTGTAAAGTTTATCAAACATAGACATATAGTAATTGATAAAATAAACATATGGTATAATTTTCAAATGTACAATAATTCGTTTTTAAATTACAACAAAATAAGAAAATCGCTACATGAGAAATCGACAGAATATCGATGTAAAAATTTAAACTTCAAACGCTCATAAAAATTTAACTTTTTTTTTTGATAAAGGTAGACAAACTTGCAAGGAATCTTGAATTACATTTTTAAATCTTAGATGTAAATAGAAATTTTTTTATGAATTTTTAACTAAATATATTATTATTTTTACAAAAAATATTTTTTAAAAGTTACCTGTTATACATGTAATAAAAGGAGACCCTATGCACATAAATGTATGAATCAAAAGACGATTAAATGCTGAGTTAGAAAGAAAAAAATTGGAATACTCGGGGCCAATATAAGATTAACTACAAAACCGACACATCTGAGTTTAATAAATACGAGGAGAGTGAAAAAAATAATTATTTAAGCTTTGTAAAAAATTGGTACGAATCAACATATTTACTACTTAGATAAATTTAAAAATTAAATTAAAACACCGAAGAAAATAAACATCTAAAAAATATAACAACAGTTATTTTTTACAGACATCTTAAGTTCAAATAATAATCTGTGACATGACACCAAATACGTTATTACTTATTAGTTATTACTTATTTTATATTAATTGTATAAGAATAATAATTGATATTACAGTTTATCAATGGTAATTTTATCGGAGAACTTGTATTCGTAGCATTTGACATTCGGAGTAATATGTTCAGAACATTATTTTATCGTGATTCGTGACAGTGGATTAACTAATGTAGCCACAATCACGAATCAAGATATATTTAGGTAGTGAGCCTTAATATTAATAAGGCTCTCTAGGTATTATTATTCGTACCACAGAATATTTATAAAAATATTTTTATTGATCAGTGACTGGAATAATCATGATGCGGCCCGGCTCCGCGTCACCCACCCGCCTTTTCGTTTCCAGTCCATACTTACCTCAGTTCGTGATACCACGGAACAATACTGATAAATATTGTCTTATAGATAACCACTCATCAGATAAGGAAATAGAGCGCTACAGCCTTAGATCATATACAGCCTAGACAATAAGTTGTATAAAATGCGGGTGAGTGACTGACCGACGTCTGTTAGTGCTCACAAAATATTATGCTTTAAGCATTTACCATAGACTCAAAAAAAAAGAAAGTGTTACTAATACTTGTACTTTAAAATATTCGTAATATCTATTGTGTAGTAAAATAAATTATTTAATTTAATTCATTCAACTATTTACAGACTTCAGGTACTTACATCATACTAATCATCATTACTTAATGTTCATTGTCATGTTTAAAATTGAAATATTTTTTTAGGATATTACTAAAAAGTTATTGTTTTCACAATGGAAAATAAAAAAAAGCAAGTCAAAATGTAAGAATTAAAATTATTTTCCTTTTTATGTTGTCTTATAGTTGTTAAAATTACCTATTTGTATACAGATTAGTTTGCTGCGGTATCAAAGGACATATAACATCATTTATTGACCATATAGAAGCATTGTTTGCTAAAAAAGGCACGTTTGACTATGTGTTTTGTGTAGGTGATTTTTTTGGGGACGATGAATTCTGTGAAAAAGAATGGGAAGAATTTAAAAAGTCTGGCAAATATAGTAAGGAAACCCTATTATTTATGTGAGTGAATTCAAAGTTTTTATTTTAAAGTTTCAGTTCCTATTTACACATTGGGACCAAATAAGGTACAACATGAAAAATATTTCAAGAATTTAAAAGATCAACAATTAGCACCAAATATTTATTATCTTGGTTAGTAAAATTTTGTTAATTTTTTATACATTGAAAATGTCTTATATCATGCTTATTAATATGCTTATATAATATATATAATGGCCATAAATATATAATTTATATGCTTAATATGATATTATTTTTTTATGTGTGTTTGCGTGTTTATTAGGTAAAGATGGAATTTTTACAACTTCTGATGGCCTTAAAATAGGATATATTAGTGGAATACAAAACAATAGTGGTAAAGAAAACGAAATGCATACATTCAATTACGATTCTCTCTCTCAGTTCAGAGATTCTTGTATTCGGGCTGGAAGTACATCACTAGATGTACTATTAACTTCACCGTGGCCATTAGATATTCGCAACAAAGAGCGCATTCTTGAAGTATAAAATATTATTATAACAAAACTATAATTATTTAAAATATATGAAACAATTTTACGAGTATCAATAATTGTTTTTCCATAGAACATAAATGTTAAGGAACCTACTGAAAAGGAAAGTGAATCTCAACTTTTATCATGGATAGCTATTAATTTAACTCCACGTTATCACTTTGCTGGATTGCAAAGAGTGTTCTATCAGCGTAGTCCATACAAGTACGTTATTTTTTATTCTTCATTTTAAATCAATAATTAACATATTTTTGGCTTTATAGAAATACCAATAGTAAAACAGTAACACGATTTATTGGTTTGGGTGATTATCATGACAATAAAATAAAAAAACAAAAATGGCTCTATGGCTTTGTTATATCGCTAGCTGAATTGACTACGCCAAATCCTATGAACTATACAGTCACCGAATCACCATTTGCTGATAATATATCTCATTATACTGCTAATATGTTGCCAGTTTCAAAACAGTATTTTTATAATACAAGTACTAACAGCAATTACAGAAATAATGATCAATCTAAAAAGAGAAAATTTGATGGACAACCAATCAAACACTGTCAGTAAAATTTATTTAAAATTTTTAATAACTTGTAAATGTACATCTGAAATATAATAATTTTACATTTTGATTAACAGCCATTGATATAAGTGCGGATTCTTGTTGGTTTTGCTTATCGAGTAAAAACATTACTAAGCATTTGATTGTATCTATTGGGAATCAGGTATCCAGTCATTTTTTACTTATATTTTAATCATTAACATTTGTATAATATGAACTAAAATGTTTAAGGTATACTTATCAGGCACTAAGGGTCCATTGGTCAAAGAACATATACTAGTGGCTCCAATTGAACATTACAAATCACTTGCTGAAGTACCACCAGAAACAGAAAATGAAATAAATCTGTAATCACCTATTTTTTTTTTTTAATAATTCCAAAATTTGGGCAATACTATTTTTAATTAAAATTAAATACAAATTGATTTGAATTTTTACAGGCTTAAAAGTTCTTTAAATCAGTATTTTGAAAACACAGGTCGTGTTGCAGTTTATTTTGAACGTAATATTTTATCTGCTCATTTTCAATTACAAGTGGTTCCAGTTCCTATCAGAATGGCAGATCGTCTAGAGGACATGTTTAAAGTAACTAAAACTAATATATATTATTATTATTAATTGCTTTATAACATGTATTATATTTAATATATTAACATTAAATTTATATAGGCTAAATTTAAAGAATATGATCTCAATTTGGTAGACATTCCACCAGCTGCATCACTCCGTCAAATAGCTGGGAACAGTGAAGGCCATTACTTTTGTACAGAGTTGCCTAATGGAAAACGTTTGTTTCATAGTGCTACCAAAAAAACTGGTCATCGGCAAAAATTTCCAATTCATATTGCAAGGTGTGTCATAAATAGTTAGTTTAAGTGTTTATGAGGCATTAATGAAATGAAATATTTATTTGTTATAGAGAAGTGTTGGCGTCTCCAAGACTATTGAATGTTGAAAGTCGTATTGACTGGAGAAAATGTGAGCAATCTTTAGATGAAGAAGAGAAAGATGTGAAAATGTTTCGTGATGCTTTTGAACCTTTTAATCCAATAAAAGATTAATTAAAAACTAATTTTAATCTTGATTGTTATCAATAATATTTGTAATAATAAATAAATGGATTAAGAAAGAGTATTTGGTACGGACTAGTGTTTAAAAAAAATTAACTCATCTTTTATTTAGAGATGATAGTTCAAAAATATTAGATTTAAAGTGTACACGGTAATGGTTCAATATGCGATCTACACTGATTTTTGGTCTGATAAGCAACCTTTATCATAAATGTGAAATATAAATTAATTTTAAAAAACAAATTGATCGATATATCTGGCAACCTTGTTCTGTACATGGTAATGTTACAATATTTATAATAGTGCCCCATCAGAGTTTTGTTTATTATAAAATAAACTTGTATATGTATACAACATAATCACCTATATGCACTTTATCATATTATCAGCAAGTAATACCCTCATTCTTTTAAATATTGAACCCATGTCTCTTCATCTCTAATAATATTCCTATACAGGTGACCAATATTTGATGTAATTTTAAAATGTTAGAAATTTATTAGACATGAAAATTCACGGACTCAAAATAAAACACACAAAATTTACAAGACTAGCTCACACAACTGAATAAAAAGAACCTAAATAAAACTTAACAGAGGTCAGTGAAGGCAAGTATTAATTATTGTATGTAGTAGTGAACAAAAATAGGATAAAATGTCCATAATGACAATAACTCTAATAAATTAAACCCTTCATAAATGCAATCTTATTGGTATGACTACTGATATTTGTAGATCACATATTATCCATTACCGTGAATTTATACAGATTTTTAAAAATAATTAATATGATATAAGATAAAATGATTAAGTGTTTAATATATTGAGAACAAAAAAAAATATTGAATTACGAAGAATTATGAAAAATACAAATATGTATATCAATTATATTGATAATGTAATACTAAATGATATAATATATATGATTATATGATTAATGATCCAGGATGTAATATGTAAAACAATATTATTATTTATCAAATACCTTTGTTGGCCACGTCAATCTATGAAGATAAAGTATAAAATATGTAATATGTATGTACAATGATAATTCTGGGCTCAGAAAAAAAGAGACAAGTTTATAATAATTAATAGTTAACTGTATAAGTAATGAACACTTTAAACTCTTAATCGCAGTGAAACAACTTTTAATTTCAAACATTAGTGTAGAACATACTTAGATTTGTCATGAATGACACCTTGGTTTACCCTGTATATTTCCTTAAATTACTAAGTGTACCTAAATTAATTTTAATTTCAAACTACAAAGAGATTTTAATTTTCAAGAAACCATTTTATGTATACTTTGAATCATTAAATGTTTGAAATATCAAGTGTTCGCTGTAAATTATATTTAAAAATTTTTTATTAGCAGAGAACAAATAGTTTTGTAACAGATTTTGGTATGAGGTGTCCTATCAAATAATGAAATAACACAAGTAAATCTTGTTTATTTCATATGATTATTGAATTATTTCACAGCGTCTATCGGTGGCTCGTTTCTCATTACTATTGAAACTCTTCGTTCCCGTACAATCAGTCGATCATTGAACACAGACGGCGCACCATCACTTAATATTTCATGCGTGTATTGGTATCGAGCTGCATCCCTGTTTATGGTTAAATTTTAATTCAGAATTTATAATAAATATAGAATAATAATTATTAAGAAAAAATAAGCTATTAATTTGAAAGGACATCATGAGTTTCTCTGATTGACATTTGTCATGGAGTAATAATGCTCAAAAATGGTTTATTTAAATTTTGCAGCAAAATAATTGTAAATGAACAAAATATTAAACCATTTATAATTTAGTTGAACATTACTATGAAATTTTTTTAACTAATGTTACAACTAAAATTAAGTTATGATCAGTATTGGGATATAAATTCAAAATTTCCATCTGATTTATAAACATGCAAACACATTAAATTTAATAAACTTAATATTTTTTTTAAATATCTACAGTATACCCAACTAAATACATTTTTAATGTATCTTATAGTGGCTTTTTCACTCACAGTCTATTTAATGTGGATAATCTATCCTCTCAACTATTGTTTAAACACAATTATATCCATGCAAAATGTCTTTATTTAATGTGAATAAATAAGAAATAAAAATTTAAAATACCATGTGAAACTTACTTCATAATATATAATGACCGGCGAGGTAATAGAGCGTACACTACATAGGTGTCTGGGCATTTTTCATCAGCTAAACGCATGACAGAATCGGACAGTAAGCTCAAGCCAGCAATTATATTGCCACAGAACTAGTGAACAAAAATAAATTACGTTTTATATATTATGTTCAACATCTATTTCGGCTAAATTAAAACAAATTGTTGAATTTGTATTATTTGATATGTTTTCATTGTAAAAAAGAATACTATTTACTTATTCAAAAATGACAATAAATACTTACTCGTGTACTATCTATATGTGGTTTAACATAACCACTGTCACATAAATCAAGTACATGAACTCTCTGCATTTGTTCCGTGATTGATTCATCAGCAAACACTCTATTTCTGAGCTTTTGTATCACATTTGAATTGTTTTGATCTTTCCATTTGATAATTTCTGTTTCCCTATATCCATGTATGGCCTAAGTTAATAAACATTTGTTGACCTACATACAGTTAATTAAAACATATTATTATTAGAAATGAAATATGCTTACATCATCCCAATGATCATGTTGATAACGTAGACGTTTTAATGATTTTTCTATTTCATCAATCAGTCGTGACTCTTCTTCGACAGACACAATGTCTGGTACAATGATAAATGAAGAATCAAATTGTTGACGTTTAATTTCAACTAAATTGTTGATACATTTTGGGAATTTATATCTTACATATTCATTCTTATCAAAAGACTTAAAAATATGTTCAATTTTCGAAGATGATGTACTAAACAATTTATTTAAGTGAAACAGACGAGGCGCAGAGAACAGCTGGCTGGGAACAAACTCTTTACAAGCCAAATTTACAGTAAACATCTTGTACAAATATATGATCATCCAACAACAGCGATTTTTCAATGGTCAAACAATATTTTTAATTTTGCACTCGATAAAATAACACAATAACCAGCTGAGATTAGACAAGTTCATAGGGTGACTTCAGTATCGTCAACCGTCCTCGTACAATAATTACTTTTTTCTCTGTATTTTTCGAGGACCACGGGGCACGGACAAACGAAATAATGAGCTACCTCAAAGTTTGTCAAAACACCATAGTGATTGCCACCATAATACCATATCTAATGATTATAGTACGATTGTATTGTTTGATCAGAGTAAACATTGCTAAATAGTATTAGTTAATAATTATTATAATAACTATAGAAAAAGTTATGTGTAGTATGAACTGTATTTGTTTGGGACCTTTTATGAATATGAAATTATGAAATAATAAAATATGTATGTTTATTGTTTAGTAACAGTTTGTCTTATCATGCTCTTCGTAATAATATCACAGAATAATAATATAATATCACTAACCTGTGATAATATTATAATAATTTAACCTGAATTACAAGTTTGATAAGGTATCGTTTAGACAAATCACCAATTATATTATGTACCTATATTCTGCTCAAGTGATCAATCGCATATTTTTCCCAATGATATGATAAATATAAGCCATAGACATAAACAACAATATTTATGTATTTATGTATCTCTATGATACATATAAGCATAATAACCACAGATATCTATATTATCATATAGATAATAGAAATCTGTGCTTATTAGTCCGTGCTGTGCGTAAAGCGCTTCGAAAGTTCGAATTACAATTATTATTACTAATTTTATTTTAATTTATAAAATTGTTTTTGGGATAATGGCACCAAAAAAAAGTTCTGGTGCATGTGTATTTTGTTTGAGTTCGCTGTACAAAAATCCAAACATCTCTTTACACTCGTAAGTCATAAATCTTTTCTAAAATACATATTGTATTATTTTATGTAACTTTAAAATTGTTAACATTGAATCACATGATATTATATATTTTTTTTTTAAATGTATATTGCTTGTTTAGGTTCCCCAAAGACCAATCCCGGCGATCTTTGTGGCTTACAGCTTGTGGTTTAACTGAAAATGATTATAAGCCTTCTAGAAAGCTGTGTTCGCAACATTTCGACCACAATTGTTTCAAAACTGGGACTACTTTGAACATTTTAAAACCAAATTCAGTTCCTACAAAGTTCAACAAACACGCAAAAGAATTTTTTATATCAACGTATATTATGAATTATGATATTTAAGTATATATTTTTAAGTAAAATCATTAAATATAGGAGCTCTCACAAGATGCCTGAGATGTCTTCTTGCAAGGTGCCAGAGTTGCATACTTACCAAATTGACGAGGAGGATGTTTCAACTGCAAAATTTGAAATTGTTTCAAATTGTGAAATGGAAACTTCCCAAATCAATGGTAGGTAGTAAACAAATTAAACTCTTATCAAAGTTAATGGTACCTAAAAATATTCACATAGGTTTTTTTTGTTTTTATTGATGTTCAAGTTTAAAGTGAGATAACTATGTAATATATTCATATACCTTATGTCCTTATACTATGTACTAATACTAGTTTAAGGTTTATGAATATATTACAATTTAAAGTGTTCATTACTTGTCTTAACTCTTAAAGCTAAATATCAATACAATCCTATGATATACCCCTAGAATCTGTAAAATATTCTTCCCTTTAAGATTAATATTAAGCAAATTCTCTATAATATTAAAGTAAATAACAAATACTGGTTTATTATTTAAAACGACCACCAACAATTATATTATTAATATAATTTGATTTTAGATACTCCTAAACGAAAGCCCCGCAAATATTATGTGGGTGATATAACAATGCCAGACTTATCCACTCCGAGAAGAGCTAAACGGAATTTCATTAAAGCTAAGTACAAAATAATTGAACAACGGAACAAAATTAAATATTTGAATTTGAAAGTAAGCAGACTCCGCAAAAAACTGTCATCTATGACTGAATTAATGAATCATTTAAAAAAAAAATCTAACTGAACAAGCTCATGATATTATTTTGGTAAATCTCATTTCAATAGATGTGAATGTGTTAAATGGCTGTTTTCATGTTTATTTTTGTTTTGTTTTGACAAATATGTGTTACTCTATGTCTTTTTTTTTAATAAATAACATAAAATGATTTTGTTTGTTATTTCTGGATAAAATACACTTAATTTATCTATTCTTATCTACTTTTTGTAAACTAATAACTATTATATACAATATATTATTTTGAACTAATATTTATATACATTTTTCTAGGTTATAGAACCCAACAAATGATATTATAACTTATAGATCGAAGTTAGAAATCTAAACCAGTTATGTGTAGTTTTGCATTAACATTGCAAAATTGTATTATTAGTTAAATAAATTACTTTAATACAGCAAAATAAATATAATATCATTGCTAATATACTTAGCAATATAGGCTGACATCGTTTTTCGTATACATTGATAAAGTAATATAATATCATTGAAATTGAATTCAAATTTAACATATCCACTACACTATGAACACCAAAACTATTTGATATCACTGTGTAATGCCACAGCGGCCAGCTCTAGTATAAATTAAACATGTATAATATTTTTAATTGGTATACCTAAGGCTTGAAAATGTATTGAAAGGTTCCTTATACGTAGTTTTTACTGAACTCCAAAATTCTTAAAAATATTTGTTATTGACCAAAAAGTTAATAACATTGATATAAATGTATAATATTATATAAAAATGATTAATAAAGTAAGGATATAATAAACTCAATGTTTCCGACAATGTTAACTTACCGTATTACTATTCAAGAAATTTCTAAAATAGGCAATAGCTATATTATTAATTTACATCATATAATATTCATACTTAGTAGCAGTGGCATCATTTGGGGGAAGGTAAGATGGGTAAATTTTGCCCCTGTCTGATTTTAAAAGTGGCTCGTCGGAATGGAGCCGGGTAATTTTCGTTTAACCATTTTTATATTTTATTAGTTCAAAAACATTTTTTAAAAATATTACATATATTGTGTTCTAAGAAATTATTATCACTCAATGATTAATTGATAATTACTAATTGATAGTTGAAATATATTTATATTTAGACTCACGCTGGGAAATTTTTTTAAGTTACCCTTTTGGGATGGTCCAAACATTTACCCACTCTATTAAAAACTGATATGACACCACTGCTTAGTAATTATGAGTAACTTGATATTTATATATATATATATAATATTATTTTAATATTGCATAGTATTCTCTTAGAATAGTTTTTCGTATGTATTTTAATTTAACTTACTTAGTACTTTGTAATAAAATTCATTTTTTGTACTATTCTTCCATTACAGTGACTTACTCAGTTTGTTTTTGAACAGTTAATATTAAAGTTGTTGAAAAGTCAGTTGCAAAACGGTTTGGCTTCATAGCTAGGTCCTAGGTAGGCTTAGTATTCAGAATACTACCTACTTAAATACTTGGTGACTTGGTCTAATTCGTATTTAAAATACGTAACTATTCAAATACTGTCTTTTAAAAGTATTTATATATAAATACAAAAACTTTTTTTAATTATTCAAAACAATTATACAAATACTTTTACTTTTTTTTAGTTCAATACATCTAATATTGAATTAATATTCATTTGTGGACATGGATCGTCCAATTTACAATACAATTTTCCTACATCGCTTTTTTAAATAATAATACTCAATAACTTAATAAGCAATAACAAAAAATAACGAAGGGCGCACGCTATTTGCACGTTGCATTGTATAGTATTAAATAAGTAAATAAATTATTATGATTTATGAAAAACATAATATACTATAGTTTTTTATCATCTCTTATAATATTATAACATAAATATACCAATATCTTATACCGTGTCTTATACTAAAATTATTAACTAACTATTGTATATTACCACCCATTAGATAAGAGATACAATAATAATTTAAAATCTTATTATTGTTATAGTATAATGTTATTACAACTTTTAAAATGAGAAGAAAGACTATTTATGGATTCAAGATAAAAGCCAATCCAACCTGGTGGTCCGCTTCCCGAACGCACCAAACAGGATTCACTTTCTCGCCGGAAAAGATACTAAAGTTGAAAATCGAAGTATTATTTCGACTACTTACTTATCGTGTACACAGACACAATACAAATATTTAATACATTTGAAAAAAAACACATTGTAAAATCAATGCGAGTTATCGCTGAGCTCAGAATCTAAAAAAATTAATAATTTACATAAATATAATATATTATTTGTAATTTGTATTTTATGAAATAAATAATAATATATTATAACGAACACAATATTCGTAGAGTGTGACCACAATTTTCCAGCAGTTCAAAAAGGGCCTTCTAAAAATATTTAAAAATGACCAATATCTATTGATTATTGTATAATTTTATAAGACACTTTATTTTTAATTTCATATAATGTAGATTATTATTTATTAATATATAATGAAAGTAAAATAACATTTGAATACTACTTTCTACAACAGTAGTACTATTTTAATAAAAATATTCTGTATAAAATATGTACACGATAATGTGTATTAGATTCTGAGAGGAGCAATGAATGTATTGATTTTACAATTAGGTGTTTTTTATTTTATTTTTTTGTGCTTGTTGTTACGGTTTAGGGCAGTACAAGTACTTCGATTTTCTTCAACAGCAATTTTTCTGATAGGGGAATGAATTTAATAATTTAATACATTTTTGCCCCGTCAAAATGTTTTAAAATATAATACAATATTCCTCGTAAGTTGTTGTTCAAGGAAATTAAAAAAAGTTAGATTTTAGAATTTTAACAAAAATCGTAAAAATTACGAAAATTAGCGAATTATTCTGAGTAAGAAATTCATAAAAATATTTCTTTTTATATCTAATATTTAAAATGTAATACAAGATTCCTTATAAGTTTGTCTATCTTCATCACTTCATCAAAAAAAAAAAATGTTCATCGGAAAATCAAATTAAATATTTATGAGCGTTTGAAGTTGAAATTTTTACATCGATATTCTGTCGATTTCTCATGTAGCGATTTTCTTATTTTGTTGTAATTTAAAAAACGAATTATTATACTTTTGAAAATTATACCTACCATATGTTTATTTTATCAATTACTATTTACTATATTTTATAAGCTTTTCAAAATATTTTGACTCGTTTTGAGCTGTTTCCAGACATTTTTAAGTTTCAGATTTTTAAATTATTTTTATAAATTTCAATAAAACTGTATTGGTTGGGCAAAAAGCATAAAAATGTAATACAAAACTCTTGATATTTTGTTACAATAGAAGTTGAAAAATATTGAAAATACATATGCATGATTTTTTTTTTATAAACATTTAAAGTTCAAATTTCGACAACATTTATCAAAGAAAATTGAAAAATGATTTTGTAGTTAAAAATGTATTAAATGTTCAACTTTTATAGCTAAGGATTGAAATTTTATAACGAGGTTGTACGTAAGTAGTTAATTTCGTAACTACTAAATCTAAAAATAAACATAAACACAGCTTTTTTTATAGTTATTTTAAGTTTAAATTTTGACAAAATTACATATTATTACAAAGAATAAGGATTTTAGTAATTTCATAATTTTATTAATCACAAAATATCCCAATTTTATATAAATATATATAATATTTTTCTAGCATCACTGATAATTTAAGAATAATATTTTGAATAATAGGTACTAATTCTACTTACCGGCTACCATATTAATAATACGTAATAATAATAGGTATAAAATATCCTATAGACTAACATAGTCTCCGCTCAGAATCGTTTTTTGTAAACAATGATATTATATCATTGAATTCAAATTTAATAATATCCACTTGGTGTTTAGAAGGTCGCCGTTCTGCAAGACATTTAACGTTTGTACAACAGAGCGACAAATTTTTAGTTTGAGTGAAAACTCATTTTGTGGTCATTGGAGGTGCAATTTTCGGCAAAAATATTCTCAACCTACCGTTTGGGATTGGGAGTATATATTGTATTAAAAGAGTGTACATTTAATACGGGGCTCTTGATATATTATTTCCATGTCAATAGAAAAATATTAAAAATACATTTTTTTGTAAAAGCGATTTTTTTATGCAAGCATTTAAAGTTCAAATTTTAACAGAATTTACAAATAATTTTATAGTTAAACATTTTTAAAATTTACATTTTTATAGCTAAGGGTTGGGAATTTAAAACAAGATTCCACACCAAATAAGTTATTCTGTAACCAAAAAATTTAAAAACATTTATACCTACACATTTTTTTTTATAGTATTGTTTTAATATGTTCAAATGTGATTATGTGAACGAAAATTTAGTTAATTACATACTAAATAACCAAAAATAATGTAAGGTATTTTGTTGTAATTTGAAAATGTTACTCTTGAGAATTTAGAGTATATTATTATATATTTATATGTTATACACACAAAGACTCTTCAAATGTATTTTTTTGGCAAAAATGAATTAAATCTACTGTAATGCAATAGCAAAATAAATTACTTTAATCACAATAATATCATCAAATATATACTAAATTACTAAGTAATATTATGGGCTGACAGACCGTTTTCGCTCAGCATCGTTTTTTGTATAGGTACATTGATTTTATATCATTGAATTCAAATTTAACACCATTTATTACAGTGACCCACATGTACTCTACACTACTGTACAGCAGAGCGACATCCACTTACCCGCTTTTTTTATTATAATTAATAATACTTATTTTAATATTTAAGACGTTTGAATAAATCTTTTATTTCAAGACATCTAATTTTGTGTTTTTGTTTGCATACAACATACCTATAGTAACTACTCAATACAATACGCTGACATGGTATATTAGAGTATTAGACATCATCGGAGCTCGAGACTTCTAGCATTTGCATATTAGTTTGTAGCACAATCAAAGATAGCAGAGTAAGCTACAAATCCGTTTCATACTAAAAGGAAAGGAGCTTTAAAAGTTTTTTGTGCATATTTTTGCATATTTTAGTGTATTTACATTTTTTCTGCTATTTTTATAAGTATCATGCTATTTTTTGCATATAATTTATTAATCTGCAAAAATGAAAAAGTTTTGTGGTTTGTACTCAGTGAGCGGCAAGTGTTAGTTTAAATTCCCATTTTACAAAAGTAAAATGTAAAAACGTGAAGACGCTTA